CTCCACAACAATTTGCCAAAAATTATTTTTGTTGAAGTCTAGTTATATTAGAGGGAATGGAGCTTACAATTAACCCATATCCTATGGGACCTCAATTGTCCTGATTCTGGCCGGTTTGTTTCAAAATGGATTAAGAACACTGATGCTTACCCATCTCAAACATCTTGAACCAGAACGTAGTTTGAGATTATTTTGGACATAATTCGTGATGTCAACATATCGCGATACGTATCGAGTATCGGTTTGCCGTATCGTCAATTCATATCGTATTGAAAATGAACTGTATCGACACAGCCCTAGTTTCAGGTAGGGTTGGGCGATATACCGGTTTATCGGTAACTGTCACCCTACGAAATATGATGTTGAGTGACATCGTTTGCTAAATATCAAAATAATAGCACTTTCACAGCAAAGTCAACGCACATTGTTCCAATTGTTGCTATTGTTATTCCAATACAAATACTTGTCGGAGTTTCTAAATATAAATAGTTTGTATAATTTTTATTTTTTTTTAAATATAACCAACATTCAGTAAATTCAGTCTGTCTGTCCGTCACACTTTTTGGGACACAATAACTCTCCTTCTAATTGAGCTAGAATGTTCAAACTTGGTGTAGGTGTTTATTAGGTCAATGCCTTGATGGAGTTCGAAAATAAGCATTTTCGGCTTAGGGTAAGCAGAGATAAGCAATTTGATTAGTTGATGCTTTGGGACACGATAACTTTAGTTCTAATTAAGTGAGAGTGATGAAATTTGGTGTTTAGTTTTATTACATCAGTAAGTTGACTAAGTTCGATAATGAGCATTTTCTGCTCTGGGTAAGCATAGCATTAAGCAAATTGATTGGTCCAGACATAGGAACACAATAGCTCTCATTCTAATTTAGCTAGAATGTTCACACTTGGCGTAGATGTTTATTAGGTAAATGATATGATGGAGTTCGAAGATGAGCATTTTCTGCTTAGGGTAAGCAGAGATAAGCAATTCGATTGGTTGATGCTTTGGGACGCAATAACTTTAGTTCAAATTAAGTGAGAGTGAGGGATCTTGGTGTATAGTTTTATCCCATCAATATCTTGACTAAGTTCGATAATGAGCATTTTCTGTTCAGGGTAAGCAGAGCATTAAGCAATTAGATTGGTCGAGACTGTGGAACACAATAATTCTCCTTCTAATTGAGGTAGAATGTTTAAACTTGGTGTACGCGTTCATTAGGTGAATGCCTTGATGGAGTTAGGTGATAAACATTGTCTGCTTATGGTAAGCAGAGATAATCAGTCCGATTGGTTGATGCTTTGGTTATAATTAAGTGAGAGTGATTAAACTCCAAGTATGGATTCATGATATCATTACCTTGACTAAAAATTTTCTGCTTAGGCTAAGGAGCGATAAGCAATTTGATTGGTCATAACAACCCTGCTTTTAATTGCGGTAGAATGTTTAAACTTGATGTAGATGTTAATTAGGTGAATGTCTTGACTGAGTTCAATGATTAACATTTCAAGCTAAAGCTAGGCAGATTTAAGCAATTTCATTGGTCGATGCTTTGGGACAAAATAACTTTGATTCTATCGGATAGAGAGCGATGTAACTTAGTGTATACCGGTAATTGATAATCAGTTTGATTGCTTGATGCTTTTCAAAAATATAAATGTGTGATTAATTAATATGTGTCATCTATTTATTTGGGGATTTTGGCGGGGGATATCAGCCTCACTGGTGGCTTGTTTTATTCTATTATTAGTAACACCGTGTGATCGCCAGTCACGTGCGAATAGAAACCACGCATTGTCTTTATCGAAGATATTGGAATAAAAAAAAGTTCAAATGAATCAAGAACAAAACTTAGAATAAAACTCAAGTTAGTCCTACATTTAGCAACTAATTATTTTACATTAATTGATTTTTTTTTTTAAAATACATTGGCACAGTATTAGACTAGGATAATAACACTACCGTAACTCGATGAAAGATTATTGCCCGAAATGAATGGAAAAACATTCGTCTTACACTACACCGCTTCGACTTATGTATGGACGGAGGTTGGAAAAACAGTAAAATATGACGATTCGACTTATACCCTTCATTGACTTATACCCCATGAAATACTGTATTTACGTCAGTCGCAACTGTCACTGTCTTATAATTATAAATATCAAACCCTTCCAGTTATGTTTACGTATTAAATCATCATTAGTATTTTACTTTGACTAATATACAACATTCTATTGATAGAATTAAATTCATCCGTAAAAAATAGCATTATTAAGTACCAGCTGGTCTAAGATTGATCTCCATCACCAACGTTAGCAACAAAAATATGGCATCAAGCGACGATTCAAAATTTGACTTCTTAAAACACGTGTATAAATTATCATTGATCATGATAATATCGTTTATCGTGATATTTGATAAATTATTATCATGATATTTTTTTTTCATTATCGCCCTACCCTAGTTTCAAGTTTTATCAAAATCGAATCAGAATTGTGAGCTGGAGGTGCACAAACCTTGATATTACATACTTTAACACTATTTGCGTACATAGAACGACCATTTTGTCCGGCAGTTTCGGTCTTGATTTTCACGAAATTCGAATTCAATCATCGTCATGGTGTAATGGTGATATATGAGAATGGTTTTTTAAATCAGATAAAAATTGTGACCTCTAGGGGGACCACAGGCTAAAGATACGATTTTTGATACAACCGGGGGCCATAATCCAGGAAGTTGCAGTCCGATATGCATGTATATTGAAAGGAACCGAGATCTTTGGGTTATAAACATATATTTCAAGTTCATCTAAATCTGATAAAAATTCTGACCTCTAGAAGTAGAGGGTCCACAAGATGAAAACATGATTTTTCATACAATCAGGAGCTATAATCCATGAAGTTACGGTCCGATACATGCCAATATCGAAAGTAACCGAGATCTTTGGGATATAAACCTGTATTTCAAGTTTTGTCAAAATCGGATAAAAATTGTGACCTGTAGACTGGCCACAAACAAAATGGGGATGGCTGGACGGGCAACGACAATATACGTCCACATGAAAATGTGGGCGTATAAAAACGCGAGAAAAGAAAAAGAATTTTTGCGAAAATCAATCGAAAATAAAAAGAAAGAAGGCAAAACGTATGGAGCTGGCATGTGCTAAAAAGAAACATACAAATTAATTATAGACATGAGAAATAAGTCAAATTCCTTCAAATACTGTATATAGAGAAAAAAAAAATACTTATAGAAAATATATGTAATGAAAGAATTTTTTATTAAAATAAGATATATATTAATTGATTATATTGGCGTTCGTTGTTCTACTGAAATACTTAGACTGTGGTTGTCGATTTCTCAAAACAGTTTTTTTCTACTGTTTATAATTTTAGTCATGCACTATGGTTACTTAAACAATAAGAGAATTTTAATGAAATCTGCAAAATGGTTGCCATAGAAACCATGGCACTTACTGGAAAACATTTGACATTGACACTAAAATATTGATAACTTTCTTTCTAATTGTAATTTTGTAATGAAACGTTTCTACAAAGGAACATGTCAGTACCCTCTGCAAAATTTGAAAACGTTCTTTAAGATCCAAGATCGCCACTGTAATCCATAGAAACGGGTACCTCCAGGAAAATTTTTCGACCATTTTTGCATTACTCACATTGTTCTTAGATGTGTAAGTATGATAAGTTACCCCAATTGTTTTAAAAAGAAAAATGAAATTTTCTACTGTCCACCCCCTTAAGAATGGTAAATTCTGTTTATAATCCATGGAAACGTGTGAGAATTATATGGGTTGTCAGTAGTTGGTTAAACACATTAGTAAATGAAATGAAATGAAACAGGGTTTAACGTCCTTCTTCGACTGGGCTAATGAAGATGGACACGTTAGTACTCGAATCCTATGCCCGACTTCCTGTATAAATGGTCAATAATATTCATAACGTGAGTATTTAAATTAATTAGTAAGTATTCCTTACTTGTGCCGGTATGTAAAAATAGCATGAGTAATTAACAAACATGAGTAAAACTGAACAGATCACTAGCCAGACTTGTGCGGAAAAAATTGGCAAAAGTGTTGCTAATTAAGAAAACGTCACTATTATTAAGACTACATTAGATCAAACCACCACTGCTGCTAGTGGACGTATCTTTGAAACACTATATTTTTAGGGTGTGCTAGAGTTAATGTAGCACCATGGGTCTTCTGTCAGACGTGGAGAGCGGGTCAGTGATTTTGGTCGCCACATCCTACGTATGACCCGTGCATCTTTCCTTACTACATATCTTAGTAGCCTTGTGATCGTCTTTGCTTCCCATTCATGTTGTGTACATGTATTTACTTCTTACTGTTTTCTTAAGACGTTTGTCTTACCAGGAATAACAATGCAACAGTTTTATATATCATAGCTGCTTACATATGGTACAATGCTTAATAGAATAAAGTCATTCTCTCAAACCTCATCCAGCCAGATTCGCTGGACGAGTCTGCTACATCATATGGTCTAGAAACTCAAATGGTAATTTCTCCGGAATCCAATGAAATCTGGCTTAAAAGTTTGCCATGATTTCTTTTATAGGATCTATGGACATCACGCACAGACAAAGCTATTCCTGACCCTGAACCTGTGTAATTACTGATATGATTGGTTACTTTAGCCAAATGATGCAATTAGTAAATTTCCAATCACATGTAATCTGGTGGTATTTTGTTGACACATATAACCAGCTATGTTTGGGTTTTATAACTCTTTTGATGTGTCAACCGGTCACTTATATTTTTAGTGCACATTTAGTACAATTGACCAAAGACATTAATTAATACAATATAATGCCATCATTTTTCTCTATTCCTTGTCTATAAATTTGAAAACAATGTCGCAACTACAATATTTCTACATTAATTGCAATAATTTTATATCACAAAGATTCCTTGTGGTACAGCATTGGTTAGATAACCTTATGTGTACAATTCAATGATATTTTTCAGATCAGAAAACACCCATAGAAACCCTGTTCAGATAATAGGAATGAGCGCAACATTACCAAATATTCATCTACTTGCAAAATGGTTATTTGCTGATCTGTATGTGACAGATTATAGGCCAGTACCATTGACAGAATGTATAAAGATAGGCACAAGTGTATATGATTCCCAGTTTAAAAAAAGATGTGATATCTACAATGATTATATTGTACCAGGAGATGATGAACATATTATTCCTCTTTGTTTAGAAACTGTTTCAAGTAATCATTCAGTACTTATCTTCTGTCCAACCAGAAACTGGTGTGAAAAACTGTGTGAATCCATTGCTCGTGAGTTTTACCGCATAAGTCGTGACAGCAAATACCAGGGTGAAACAGGTTTTATTTTTTTACTCACCTTGATAATATTCAGCTTATTCTAATGTTGTCATTATATTATTCAGAATATGACATGCTAAATACACTGAGAAGTAGCAAGGGTTTGATCTGTATATTTGCCATATATAAATCCATCTTTAATAGAAGGCTTGATCTCGCTTTAACTACGTACATCTTATCAAGGCCTTCACGTAATACCCTGCATATTTCGGCACTAATTTCGATTGGGTAGAAGCCCAGCTTGTGAGCCTATCGGATTCCTCGATTGTCGCGAATATCAAGTCTCGCGCTTTCAAGCTAAAATGTCTACCTGTGATAATCGAGTTGCAAAGTTCAAGGTTCATTCAATGTCAAGGTTTCCGTGGAGGTCGTGATGTCACAACCGCTGGTTGGACGCTACTGCTCACCTGTCTGTAGATAACATATGTTCTTATCTCAGTTAAATTTACAATAACCGCAACAAATCTCACATAAATGGGTTACATCTGTCACTAAGGTGTGTTAATTTAATAATAATAACTAGACCGGCAAGCAGCACTGAACCGGCTTTCAGGAATCAGACAGGAAGTGTGTCATACAATAGCCCATTCATCGAGCTACCAAACGGTACTTTAGGTGTTTTTATCCGGTCACACCCAACGGTGAAATCATGATTTTTGCAAGAGCACCTATTTTTACTTTTTTTTTTTAATATCGAATATTTTTTCGACAACTTCTGGTTTACGGATCATTTATCGGGATAGATTTAACACGTTGTATGAGAATTTAACTTCCTGTACCAGAAGTTTCAGAAAGATCCATTGGACATTTTTTAAAAGAAATGAAAATCAGAAGATATTTAACGATATTTAGCAAAAAGAACTGCGATGCAGTAATGACGGGTTTCACCTGTGCAACGTTACCCTAAACATATGTCACTTCCGGTACCAATGAAACCATTAAACAGGTTTCCACATAAGCATTGCACACATCAAATACAATGGACACCGAATCAACCAAATCCAGCAATATCAATTCATTTTATACATTTGTTACATGTAAGTATACAGTATTTCCGGTGATAATGAAAATGTTCAATTAGTTTTATGAAATCAGAAATGGCATAAGGCATCACATGGTGAAAAATTTTAATGTAAATCAAATAATAATTGCCACTTTTATAGACCAAAAACCTTGAAAAGTGACTTGTAGAAAACCGTCTATTTCTCTGCAACCGTACAAGTTAGAAACCATTTTCTGGTATCTGTATGATCGTATGGGTTCAATCTATTTGTTGATTGGAATCAAATATCATAATTTTAAAAACATTAAAATCAGACTCATTTGAATAAAATATCTGTTTTGAAGGCTAAAAATACAGTTTTTGCCGAAATGACGTTACTTCTGGTGATAATGAAAATCTTAAATTACTTGTATGAAATTGCAAATGGCATTAGGTATCACACAGTGAAAACTTTATGAAAATCGAATAATAATTGACACTTTTATGGACCAAAAACCTTGAAAAGTGACCTGTTGAAAATCGCCTATTTCTCCGCAACTGAACAAGTTAGAGACAATTTTGTGAAATCTATATTACCTTATGAATTTTATTAATATGTGAATATAAACTAAAAGTTAAAATTATTAATACATATTAAATAATTCTTGGTTGAAAAAAATATTGATTTTAAAAGTTAAAAATGCAGTTTTTGACAAAATGGCGTCACTTCCGGTGTCAATTTTCAATTGTAATCAATTTGATAGGACGCATACTTGCTTTTTATACGCCCACATTGAAATGTGGTTGTATATTGTCGTCGCCCCCGTCCGGCCGGCGGTCCAGCATCCACAATTATTTGTGGACGCTCTAGAGGCTAAAGTGAATATATGATTGACTTTAAATTTATACACAGTGTTTAAGGTCTTGAGACGAAGAAGCATATTGATTTTCAGCGATTTCCGATAATTACTGCCAGAGTTATGGCCCTTGATCACTTTGAAAAATCTTGTGGACGCTCTAGAGGCCAAAGTTAATATCCAATTGACCTTAAATTTATACACAGTGTTTGAGGTCATGAGACGAAGAAGCCTATTGATTTTCAACGATTTCCGATAATTACTGCCAGAGTTATGGCCCTTGATCACTTCAAAAAATCTTGTGGACGCTCTAGAAGCGAAAGTTAATATTCGATTGACTTTAAATTTATACACAGTGTTTAAGGTCATTAGACGAAGAAGCCTATTGATTTTCAGCGATTTCCAATATTTGCTGCCAGAGTTATGGCCCTTGATCACTTTGAAAAATCTTGTGGATGCTCTAGAGGCCAAAGTTAATATCCGATTGACTTTCAATTTATACACAGTGTTTAAGGTCATGAGACGAAGAAGCCTATTGATTTTCAACGATTTCCGATAATTACTGCCAAAGTTATGGCCCTTGATCACTTTGCAAAATCTTGTGATGCTATAAAGGCTAAAGTTATAATCCGATTGACTTCAGATTGATACACAGAGTTTAAGATCTTGAGACGAACAAGTATATTGATTTTCAATGAATTTTTATGACTTAAACAGTTAAATCCATGATATTAAAAGCTTTGCATACAAAACGTTAGCATGGGGCAGAACTTTATAAAAACCAGACAAATTCTAATAGTTTTCTGATAATTACTTCGTGAGTTGTTGCTCTTAATCAGATTTTAGTGTATTATAAATGTTTCATTACCGAAAAAAGTAAAAATATGCGACAACCCTTGTTGACTGCCCGGACGATTTAGTTGCTGTGGGCGTATGTTTCGTTGACTGGCAACCTATCTTTGAATCAAATGGTGTCACTTTTGTGAAAATCCAATAATAATTGACTATTTTACAGGCAAAATAACGAAAACAGTGACTTATGCAAATTTGCCCATTTCTAGGTAACTGCTTATATTACAAACTAATTTTAACATACATTTTCTTCGTATGGTTTATAGCTACAAGTTTATAAAAGTTACGTAGAAATATTTTAAAATCTGAAAAGCCTGAATGGGTTGTAAATAGGTCAGTTTTACACCTTTTTTCACGTCTTAATCGAATTTGCTCGAAAATGAAATCGAAATTAAAAAAAACGATCCCAAGATTTTGTGCGCCTTTAAAGGGCACACTCTTTTAGTTATATCAATTTTTAAAATCTCAATCGTACACCAAACCAGGCAAAAAAAAAAATTCAATACCTCGTCATCAATTCTACACCAAAATGACAATTCAGATAGGCAAGCAAAATGCCTGAAAAGGAGGGAGACAAAATATATCTCAAAATAACCGGCACTACCGAGATATTCAGAGAGAGAGATGGGATTTAACGTCCACTCGACACAAACTAGGTCATTTCGGGACTAACATATGGTTTAATTTTATTTTAATAATTCACTTGCGCGTAGGGGTCTTTAGTAGTGGGAGGAAACCCGAGGACCTGGAGAAAACCCATGAGGTTGGACCGAGATATGAAAGAATCGAAGGAAGCATTCGAATACGAAATTCCATTCACTGAGCTATCGAACGATACTTTAGCTCTTTTGATCTGGTAATATCCAACGGAGAAATCGCGCTTTTGACAAAAATCCTTTTTTTTCTCTCTTTTTTCAAAATATCCGATGTTTTATCGACTATTTCCGGTTTAAGCATCATTTTCGGGATAGTTTTAACACATGGCGATGGCACCTAACTTCCTGTTCAAGAAGTTTCAGAAACATCAATTACCAGATATTTAACGATTTTTAGCCAATAATTGGTAGCCTGATTCCACCGTTCTTAGAGATAGTTACCTCCCTTATACTCTTATAGTAGAGTTACAAATATATATAACGATTTTTCGACTTTTTTTTCAAAGATTGGGGCCCTTTTTGGAACATTTATACTATATTGAGGCTTTTAAATTTGGATTCACACCCTAGACCACCATTAGGACTCTTTAAGAAACACCAATAACTTCCAGCAATCTGTATTAGGGTTCACCACCAAAATTCAATACCTAGTCAACAATTCTACACCAAAATGACAATTCAGATAGGCAAGCAAAATGGCTGAAAAGGAGGGAGACAAAATATATCTCAAAATAACCGGCACTACCGAGATATGGAGATAGAAATGGGGTTAACGTCCACTCGACACAAACTAGGTAAAGGAAAAAAGAGAAGTTTTCGGGATGAAAGCATTTGAATAGCCCCCAAAAATGAAAATACTAGATTTTCAGCGTCTCATTATATATATATATTGCCTAACCAGCGAATTTTTACCATTTAGATTTCATACGATCGTCCATTGTTCGGGCTATCCAATGACACTTTAGTTGTTTTGAAATCTTACGTAGTAATCACTTTTTCGCAAGATCACATTTTCAGATGTTTTTTTTCTCAAAATATCGGATATTTTTTCGACTACTTCCGGTTTTTGGATCATTGTGGGGATAATTTTAACAAGTTGTTTGGTTACCTAACCTTCTGTACAAGAAGTTTCAGAAAAATCCATTCAGCTGTTTTCCAAAGAAAGAAAAATGGTAGAGTATTTTCAGTAATTTAAGGATTTTTCAACTTTTTTCCAATATTGAGGTTCTTTTTGGACCTTTTATATTATTTCAATGCTTTTATTTTTAAACTCACGCCATAGTCCACCGATAGGACTCTGAGTAAAAAATGTTTAAGAAAATTTGTAGTTTTCGTTTTCGAGAAAATGGCGTCTCAAAATGCTCCAAAACGGAAAATACTAGATTTTCGGCGTACCATAATTTATTTTCTAGCCATCTAAATCGTATCATTCAGATGGCATATGATAGTTCATTAACGGGGCTATCCAGCGATACTTTAGTTCTTTTGGTCCGGTAACATCTGATGGAGAAATCAAGTTTTTCAAAAGAGCGCTATTTTTTTAACCTTTTTTCTTCATTTTTTGAATACTTCTGGTATGGAGATTATTGATTATTGTCGGGATAGTTTTAATAACCGGATTGACTTATCAAATAGCAACAGGGCTATGTAATGATATATTACATTGTCTGATCAGATAAAATGCCCCTGGGAAATCC